TATTTTGTAAGCACAACATAACAAAATTGCTGTTCTTCAACGCCTCTACCTTAAGAACTTAATTGGGGGGAAATCTCCTACACCCAGAATGCAAGGATACAGTCAAGACTACTGCAACATTTTACCTGTATCCCAAATGACACACAAAAGAAGAAAAGTGTACAGATGAGATGAGAGTATGCTCATCTGTAATAAGTCAGGAAACATTCATACTGGTTTGCAAGCATTCTACTTCCATTAACCACACTGGGTTAAATGTTCTCTATGAATGCATTATGTGTCTCCACTACACACACATTATATCAAGATTGCTATGGTAACTGGCTTTAGTTATATAACTGAAGAAGCTGTTGGTAATATAAAATAAGGAAGATTTTAGATACAGTTCTACCAGTAATTGGGGGGGAAAGCCTCTTGCTTTTCAATTTCTGGCAATCACTTTCCTCTCATTGCAGTAATTTATAGCAGACTCACATTATAGCAAGACTTCACATCCTTGTAGATTGTTCAAAACTTACAGAACAGTTTTGCTGTTATCATACAAAGATAAGTCCCCCTTTCTTATATGAATGTTTCACATCCTTTTCCTACTAAATAGTGGAGTCTAAATACAATGAAACTCAGTTTCTTATACTTGAAACAAAAACTTCCATTTATGGGCTGCAACCTTGCACCAAGATAACTATCACTTGGTTATACTGAAGTTTAGAGCACTCCCAAACTTGCAGTCTGTCAGAAAAGGCTATCTAGAGGAGATGAAGGAAGGCAGGAAGAACTTTGCCAAACAGATAAACTGGAGTGCTGGAAGCTGAAAGGCAGAGCGAGAGATCAGCTTGAACTTTAAGTTGACAGAAGTGGCTTGGACTGAGAAGCCAGGCCAGAGTCAGAGGCTCAATACCATCGGTCCCTTGTGTCACCTGACTCCTGTCGAGCAAATACCTGCAGTACCACCATCTGCTAAGTCCAGAAGAAAACAGACTAGCAGTTCTCTTGTCTGGCAAATGAGTGCATTTCAGGTGTTTATAAACATATTTATTATGATTTATTTATTTAAAACATTTTTAAATTTTTTTTTTAAGATTAAGCATTTGACTCAATGGCCAATAGATCACTATTTTCCCCCACCCTTCCTCCAATGAATACAGGGCAGTACACAGGGCCTTCCCATGCCAGTTTATTCTCACACCCATGTGAGACAGGTGATACAGGTAAGGCTTGCAGAGAATGCTGCTGCAGCACTGCATCTAAAGAAGTTAATGGATGAGTGGGGATTCTAACAAAGGTCGTGCCAAGTCTTAGCCTTAGTCTGTCCCTTTCCCCACTACATTATGTTGGCTGTCCACATTATAAGGACAGGGGAAAGCCAGGATCAAGCTATAGAAGAAAAAAAAAATAGCCGTAGGTCCTGAACTGCACATGCTCTTCTCCTCTCCCTTCAATTACAGACTTGGCCCCTCACTAGAGATGTGAAGGCCCAGAAAAAACCCGGAAAAAATCGGGAAAAACCCGTTTCCCCCCCATTTTTTTCCTGAAGCCTATTTTGTTTTTTTCTGAAAAATTGGAAAAATTGAAAAAGAAAAGAAAAGAAAATTGATTATGGAACGTTGTATTTTAACATGATGAATAAAATATTTTAAGACAAGGTGTTCAAATATTTTCCAAATCATTTCTAATATATATATGGTATCAGATTGATTTAAAAAGCTTTCAGTTTTGTTTTTGCATGTGGGTGGGTATTCTGTTTGTAATAATTGTTTGGATACACTATATTTTTAATATGCTAGTTGTGATAATTTCATGCCAAGTAAAAATGTCCATAGTCATATTTTATGTTCCTAAAATAATAGAATGACTTTCAATCTAGAAATTCAATCTAGAAAAGACAAAAAAATGCTAATGTAGCATCTTTTTCAATTTTTCCAAAAAATTCTGTTTTTTTCCCGAAAAAAACTGGAAAAAAACCGGGCTTTTTTCCGAGGTTCAAAATTTCCGGAAATTTTACATCTCTACCCCTCACCATCCTCCACTCAGAATTGTGGATGTGAGGTTGGACTTTCCCCACAAAAGGGTTGCCAGGTTTCCTGCTACAGTAAGCAGGAGAAAATGGGGGGGGGAGAGGAATCAGGATGTGTAGTGGTGTGCTGGCATGCTGGCATCACTTCCAGTGAAAACCAGAAGTGATGTCATAGGATGCTCTAGCATTTGCAAAAAACTATACCGGGGCCAGTCCTACCTCTTAAATTCTCCTGAGCTGGCTGCCTACCCTCAAATAACACTGAATTTCTAAAACTGTACCTATGCACAACCCAATAAAATTGGAGCAGTAGGTTGAGAATAAGGATCTACTGATCATGGCTGAACATTTTACATATTTAACAGCTGGATTTTTTGGGGGTAAATTTTGAGTCATTCTTTCATTATTTTTTTAAAAAACTTTTTTCATCTAGATTATTTAAACCACAAGATGGGGATATAACAAATGATGTTCTAAACATCAGGCCAAATACACTCAAGAGTTCTTACAAAAGCCTTTGCTTCTTGTGTATCTGTTCAAGCTACTAAAAGATTATGAAACTCAAAGTAGAAAGAGACCTATTTTTGGAAGTGAGTTGGATATAAAAGATTTAAGGAAGCTTTCAAGCCTCATTCAACTCCTCCTATGGTAAATATAACTACAACAAAAGGCAAAAAGATGGAAAATATTTATGTGCAGCCAGGTTATGCTCCACTGAACCGGATTTGTTAATACAATCAACTTTCAGATGATCAGATCTATCACATGTTGGCAGCATCTACTGATTTACTTGAGTAGGCTGCTTTAAAACAATTTTTTTGGGGGGTGGGGGTTACTGTTTCACTGGAAGCACAGTCCAGCAGACTGCTTACGCACAGGCAGACACCATAAATGAAAACAATATGAATTAACATGGAATTTAACTGTTCATAAGTTTTGTTAAATCTTTTGATAAACTTCTGTTCATAAGTTTTGTTAAATCTTTTGAGGGACTGAATCTTTTGCCAGAAGGATCATGGTGATCGATTTGCTATTTTAACTTGACACTGCACTTGTCCCACCACCGTGGTAGTGCTTCATCGTCTGCCCCTATCATGGGGGGCAAGCATCGCCTGGCAGAAGCGCATAGAACAGCGCGCTGGAGACAGCTGGCTGCCAAATTGGGTTCACTGTTTCCCATCTTGGGTCATTTACACAGGAAGATCAGAGCACCTTGATTACTCTATGGGTTATTGTATTTTATCTATTCAACCCGGCTTCGCCGCATGTTAGCCGCCTGAGCCGTTGGGAGGGCGGGATACAAATGGGATCAGCAAGTATCAGGGTCCTTAGGGACGTTCCATTTGAGGTTCGACAGAAAAGAAAAGCGTATAAAGAACTCATCTCAACACTTCAGATCAATCAAATTCAGTACACCTGGCTTTTTCCAGAAGGGGTCCAATTCAAATATAGAGATAAAAGAGAAAAAATCGACTCGGTGTTAAAAGCAGAAGAATGGTTGAAGCAATGTCTAAGATTACTTAAATAATAGAATGCCACTTTACAGTAGGGCTACTCTGTCAGCAAAAGGTAGTATCTGGTAGAGATTACTGAATATTTCTTTCAGTTTCTGATTGCATAAAAGGAGTTTACTTGTTTCAATCCTAACTCTTATTTGTGCTCTCTAGCATATTAAATACATATATGAAGCTACTTAAGGAATTTTACACTCACAGAGATACTTGAGTATCTGGGTTGGATCTAAACCGGGTTGGATCTAAACTGGGTTGGATCTAAACCGGTGTGGGTTTGGACTCACTTAACATAAGAGTCACATAGAATAAACATCAAATGTTGGAGAACCGCAAGACATGAACAAATATTACACACATGTTTTTATTGAAAAATATGAAAATTTGCTTTTTATTAACATTAAATAAGAAGAAAACAAATGGGGTAAAAACAGATATTGATAATGATATTTATTTGTCCATAGTATTTGTTTGCTAATGATATTTATTTGTCTGAGGGGTGGAAAGAAAGGAAGCAAATAGATGGTTTGGATTCAATCAGTATATTGAATTGCAGGCACAGTGTAGTTGTATTAGGACACTACTGATAAAAAGGTTTTGGGGAAACCTTATTTAAAAACACCCTTTTTGTACTCAGTGACAGAAGCAACTAAACCACTGGGCAATTATTCAGCTTTCAATATTTGCTTCCTCCAGAACATACTTGAAAGTTTACAATTCCAGTCTGTTGTCATCTTGGCATATTTTAAGCACCTACATCAGAGGGAAGGATCTGCTTTGTGCAATATAAACTAATGTGAAGGACAACGGATTTTCTTAGCATTTTCTTAGCCAATGCTACCATTTTATGGTTCTTCCTCCTAATATGGGAAATCTTCAGAAATGTCAATGGAAATAGCTACTGCAAACAAGATGCCCACAGACAGAACAACTTCACCAAAGTGGACTCAACAAAATAAGGTGGGGTGTTTTTTTTGTATTTTGAAAGTACACATGGCTATCCTTTTCTGTGTGTGTGTTCTTTCTTTCACCTAATATTTAAGATGACATGTTGGTATAAGGAAACTTGCCATTTGGCAAAAGACATTTTATCTTTGAAGAGTATTTCTAAAAAGTGAGAGATGCAACAGTAGACCCATGTAAAATATTAGGTAATTTGACAAAGCATTTGTATGAATAAACAAATGTACCCATCCCTCTTTTGGTAATGTCTCTCAGAAAGGTCTACATTTTCATACCAGAGAATACAACTGTCTCTATGAAACATAATCCAACTAGTATCCAGTACTTTTCAATATGCTGAGTTTTTAGAAAGGGATTCAGTTAGTATTAAAACAACAACAACAACCAGAACCAAATCCACAAAAGGAACAATCACCATGATTTCCAAAGCAAAATTTGAAAGTCCACAGAACTTGCTCAACAAATCTGTGGAAAGCATATCAAACAATACAAAAATAAAACATATTTCTTACCTGTAGAAGTATGAGCACCCCCTGACTGTGTTGTGAGTGAAATGTTCCTGAGTCTTTTCATTTCCAAAGTCTTCTAAGGGATCTGACCACAGGATGTCACACATAGGTCCATACGCAGGTGGTTCCTTAAATCGATCTAACTAAGAAGAGAAGATAAAGAGAATAGCTAAAGGTATGTCTATATCCCTCACTTTACAGATTCAGGACCATGAAAGCTGGCTCAAACTTGCAAAGTACAAAAGGTTGTACATTGGAAGACCTAAAACCCTGGTGACAATAGCAAAAGTGTACCAGCAGTGCTGGTCTGCCACCCCTCCCACCCCTAAACCTATAACAAAGTGCAGTTCAAACATTACACACCAACAAGATCAACAGCTAACCACAGGCTTTTTCGATATTAAGGCAGCTGTGCAGAGCTTCACAATAAGCAAGGTTTACATGTGGGAAGAGTCACATCTGAACTGGCTCTTGGCTAAAGAACAGTTTCCTATACTTAGGGAACAATGAAAAAAGACGTACACCACCAGGCTTTTCTGACCCTTTAAGGAACTCATGCATTTTAACTATAAAGCACCTAAAATGAAATCAAATGTTCATGAGCAATTTACGTTAAATAAAGATCCTTAAACAAGGTTAGGCACTTTCTCTTGCAGATTGCCAAAAAAGCATAGCTTTATTTCTGAATATCTATCACACAAACAGAATTCCTAAGCAGTTTCATTTTGCATCATATTTACCATGGGAACATCTAAAACTCAAATGTTGTAAAGTTTAACTTGATATCTATAATCAATAGAAATGTATTTATATTACTTAATGAAAGAGGAAGCATCAAATTTAGATTCTTTAAAGTGTAAGTGGAGCTCAGAATGTGGCTCTGCAAACCAGCCTTCACATAAATCACAACTAGACTTGCAAAGTAAGACTTACACAAGAAGAAATTATCTTATGTACTGCCCAAAGCCTCTTGCTAAAACACATTGTCCTGCTAATTCAAGTTGCTTGAGAGTTGGAAAAGAAGGGTTCAGGAGACAAGATGACGGTGGGGGAGCTGATAGAGGTTTATAAAATAGGGAGGAAAAAGTAGACTGAGAGAACTCTTCCTTCCTTCCCTTTAATACTAGAACTTAGGGTGGGGCAATACATTCAGAAGATAAAAAGTATTTCACTCACTGAGTAATTGTGGTATTCACTGCCTGTGAAGCTAGTGGTAGCCACTAGTATGGAAGGGTTTAAAGAGAATTAGAGTGATTCACAAGGGTTAGGCCCATCAGCGGCTAGTAGCTATGATGACTGAAAGGGATCTCCATGTTCAGAACCTGTAAACCTCCAACTATCAGTGCTAGGAGGCAACATTAAGGAGAAGCCTGGGCCTCTCTGTCCTGTTTGTTGCCTGTCCAAAGCAACTGGTTGGGCATGGGCACTCTATGAAACTGGATGCTGGTCTAGATGGACCACTGTTATAATCCAGCATGACACCTCTTATATTCATTTGCTTATGAAAAAGCTAAGCTTTACAAACATTTGAAAGTAACTGTAACCAATTTTTGGAAAGTTTTAATTAAACACTTAGCTACTGCTATATCTATTTAACCACTGGGGTTCTTTCATTCATGTATACATCAGTGGTACCAGTACCAACTGTGCCACTGTATAATGATGACATAATTGAAGATGAGTAAATTGAACGTCAGGTGGGAGAACAGTCAGGTGGGAGAACAGGAGGGGGAGGCATTCCCTGCTCATTCCAGGGACTCATCAGGCTTGGCATCCCCTCCTCCCCCCAGCAAGCATGCGAAAACTAGACCATGCAGCCGGCTGGAGCATAATGTCTCAGAGGCATCAGGGGAGGATGAGGCTCATGGCTTCAGCAACAGTGAACTTGGAAGAAGGGACGAGCATAGCAGCCCTGTAACGAGGGATCCCCTGGATCTGAATTTACAGAGGCACCTTCTGTAGTAGCTTCTGTGGAGGACATTGCCGAGAGGGAAGAGGGGGAATGGTCTGGGGAAGAAACAGAGACAGCCAGGCTCTTTCAGGTGGAACATCTCTAGAGGTTGCTGAATAAAGTGATCACTACTTTGAATTACCAGATTGAGGTGGCTGAGAAACCCAGGTCTGCAGTAACAGCAAATCTGGACACCTGGGGATTCAAAACACCAAATAATATTATATGGTAACTAACTATAAAGTCAATGTTAATTTTTCTTATTTTATCAATGTACCAGATCATGCTAAGTATAACGAGATGTTATGACTGTATACAATTGTTAATTGTTTCCTTTTTTCTGTATTATACTAGTTTATAGTTCGCACTTACAACTTGTTAAATATCAAGAACCAGAAATTAAAGAAGTCACATGAAGCTATTTCACTGCCCATCTGGTCAAACTTCACCAGGGCCATAGTCATATGGGCAGACTATAGGACAGCTACCTAGGTAGATGGTGAGTTCCCTCTCTCTGGCAGTCTTTAAGGAATGGCTGGACAAACATTTGTCAGTGATGCTCTAGGCTGATCCTCAATTGAGCAAGGCATTGGACTAGATGACCTGTATGGCCCCTTCCAACTCTATGATTTTATGATTCTAAAGTCCTTTTTACTCTAGGGTCCCCTCTGTGTACAATAACTCACTGGAACACATCCTCTTATGGGGTTTATTTTGGCAGTAAACACTGGGTGACTTGATACCATCTGAGTTGCATGACTCAACTAGATCTAGCGGCTTGTTACTGTTCAATAGCAGCCGTCCTTCGAATTCCAATGTGGTGTAGCCATTTGCGCTTCAGAGTAGGGTCTTGTAGATCCACATTCAAATCCCCATCTTGTTGTGGAAGCTCACTGGGTGATTTTGGGCCAGTCACATACTTTCAGCCTAATCTACCTCACAGGGTTGTTGTAAGGATAAAAAGGAGGAGAGGAGAGTAGTGTAAGATGCTTTGGTCTGCACTGTGGAGAAAGGTGGAGTATAAATGAAGTAAATAAATAACAAGTATAGCTGAAGATGGGAGGTAGATACAAGATAAGTTGGTGAATGAAAGAGAGAATGAAGCAGAGCAAGGGCAGATGATATGGGGGTTGTCAGGAGGAGGGAAAGGGGAAATAATGTGGGGAAGGGGATTAGGGGAAAGTGAGGTGCCCCCCACAAGTCTTTGAAGGCCCCCTACCATGCAAATAGCCTGGGCCTAGTGGCCAGCACCACACAACTGGGCCATAGTTTTTCTAGGCAGAGGCTGCCAGGGTGGGGGAAAGGAAAAATGAAGATAGGTTGGCTGCTGGGTGGTATGGAGAGAAGGAAGCAGGAAAAGGGGCCTTCAGGGAAGGGGAAAATGAAATAGTGGGGGAGGGAGAAATGATATACCTCCCGCAAATTCTTGAGGGTTCCCATTTGTTATTATTTAATGCTGCACATTGTATCACATAAAACTTTTTCATACTATACCATTCGAGTCAAACTTTCTCTTAATTTTTTCCCACTCATTCCAAAAAAAAGGGGGGGGGGATCACAGGAGATTTTTCAGTTGTCCCTAAAACTTCCCAATTTTTCCATTGGAAAAACTGAAAAAAGTGCTTGGGGAAAAAAGAGGGTTCCCCCCCACCCCCGCTTTCACATCTCTAGTACGCACACACAAAAACGTCATTATTCTGATACAGAAGACTTCACTAAGATCATAGAAGCAGAAAAAGCAAATACGTGGATCCATCTTGCAGCATGATGCTTCAGCTTATATCCAATTATTTTTGTTGGCAGCTATGACTAGCAGCACCTATAGTCACCACAACAGTTACTGTATGTGGAAACAATTGTGGTTTCCAAGCAGACACTCTCCCCCCCAGGTCAGGAAAAAAATATGAGAGTGTCTTATTGTTTTGAAATGCAGCAGGCCAAGTGGCTGGTAAATATTAGCACCATGATCCAGAGAAGGAGATCTGAATTCAGAAGCATAACTTGCTTTATCAGGCAACATGGACGTTAATCATTTGAGAATTTGGATTTGTACCTCCACCCACATTCTGGCATATCTAGTCATGCATAAATCCCCTTTACTATAAATACGAACTACTGGGCCTAGATTGGAGTATCTAGTGAAAATAAATTCGGTTGCACACCCAATTCACTAAATAAAACCAGATTTTCCAAGAAGCAGTAGTACAAATTATGCACTTAATCTATTTCTAAAGATTCTGTTTTGAATACAAATAACTAAGCTTTCAGGAAAACCATGGAGAACAAAAGAGTCATAAGGCAACAAGAAAATGCAGCCACATACCAAAACCTCAATTAAATCTTACATATATTAACAGTGGGTAAAGAACATTTTTGTTCCTAAAATCATTTAATTACTGGCATTTTAGATTTATACTATTCAAACTTACTTTTCTGATGTCATCTAAAGTGCTGATCTCTGGAGAGAGGCCACCATGCACACACAGGAACTGTTGGTTCATCAGAGCAGCCAAGGGAAGGCAGTCAAAGGCATCCATGCAGGCATCATACACACGTTCTGAATACTTTATTTTACCTTTTGGATATTAAGATGGTATCAGAAAAGGGGACTGAAAAGGGAAGAGTGACCATCTGAGAATCCTAACAGGGCTCCAATTTGTATAGGCCTCTGACTTGTGGGCTGTACAAGTGACTGAACACAAGACTTATCTTGGGCTCTCACTTGCCTCCCAATGCATCGAGACCGTGAACACATGACGGACAAAGACAGAAACACATTTACACTACTGTAGGGGTATACATACACATATTCTTGAACCGAAATAAGGCCTAAAATCACCATTTTAATTTTGGGCCATGAAGCAAAACACTTCCAAAACTTTGAAAAAAATGGACCCCACCTACATTTCAGGAATGTTTTGGGTTCAGGAAGGCAGTAGAAAGTGGAGCAGAATGGGAGGAAGGAAGGAAAGAGCACATACACTCCAGCTGGGTTGTGGCACCAATGTTGCCATGGCCCTTTAAACTTTAATGTTCCTGGACATCAAGGTCTGGTCTCTATGTTCAGATACCAGATCTATCACTCACTGATTCAGTGGACACCTGATCTGACCTGACACTGGAATCATACATGGTAGACCTGGTATCTAGACCTGGAAACCAGGTCTAACCCCCCCCCTTTCATGGTAGACCTGGTCACTGAGTTTGTACCCCAGGTCTAGTGCTGTTGGTTCCCGGTCTCCCTCCAGGAAGCCAGGTCCATCCCCCACTGGTTCCCTCTTTCACTGCTCCTGCTGTTGGGGGTGGGGTGCCATGTGCACAGTAAAAATAAACGGTTTAATTTTGTTTTGTTAAAGGAATGATTTTAGGGCGCCAATATTTCTGAACCCCAACAATGTCCCTGAAGTAGATTTCTAGAATGCTATCAACACTCCCAAAATTTCAGGAGAACAAAAATCATGCCTGTAGCAAAATCTTGAAACAAAACTAAACCAATTTTTTAAAGTGCACAACCCTACACTACTGTTCATGCTTCAACTTCCTCATTCCATTGCCCTTTATCAGCTATTAAGCTCCTTAATATGCAAACTAAGATATTTACCTGTGCACCCTCTCAAGTAAATAATTTGTGGCTTTCCTTTTGAAACTGCCTTTCACAGATGGCAGGTTGACAGAGACCCTGATACTAATGTAGATGTCGCTATCCCTGTACACAACAGATATTTAGACACTGTCCCATTCTATTTCCTCCACCTCACCCTTAAGTCATTTTGCAAAAGCATCAAGCATAATGGACTAAGTATGCTTTTGTTGATGTTATTCAAAGTTACTGAGTCATGGACCTTCAGAATAGTTCAACTTTGTTCTGTAACGGAATCTATGTGGTAGTAAAAACTAAATTTTGTAAGGCAAAAAGCTACTTATTATAAAAAAAATTCATTGTCTACTAATCTTTTGTGATAAGTACAGAGATACTCTTAAGAAAAAAAACTCTGCCATTTCTTTTAGACTGTCACATATTTACTTCTTAATGGCTAGATCAGAATAGAATCCTTCACATCTTCTTAATCATTTGCAGAAACATCTTGAAATGAATCTGAAGTGTTAGTCTTCAGAACTCAGGAAGTTATCAGTTGTTCAAATACATTAAAATTCTTTTCATCCAGTTGCTTGATTTAAGGAAATGTGTACAATATCACTATACACTCAATTTTTCCTGATTGATGACCAAAGCTTCTTCAATTTCTCAATATCCCAACTTCAGCATTTGTCCATACCCAGCTGTCTGCTTCCTAATCTGAGGTTTGTTATGCTCTGATGCCTTCCCATGAATCCTTGTACATGCAGATTCCTTTCCACCCTCAAGAGCCTCCTGCCCTCAAACCTCCAAGAAAATGATGTCTTTGCATCATAGAACTCTTACAGGGATGAAATTGCTATCCCTTTTGCGATATGATAACTCCATTGAAATCTCCAGAAGGCATGAAACAAAGGCAGTTTTCACACAGATTATGTACCTCAGGCTCAGTGCTGTGGGTAAGTGTCCCCCCCCCCCAGGTTCTCCACAGCATTGTAGTGCATTCATGTACCTCTTGGAGTTTCTCCAGCTTTTCCCCAGTCTTTCTCAAACCTGCTTTGCTGAGAAATTTTGGGAGAGATTATAGCAAAGCGTGGATGGATGCCATGTGGGGTGAAACAGTTTAGATTTTCCTGGTCCCACCCACATGGCAGCCATTTTTCCATGGTGGTCATTCCCTCACCTTGTCACTGGCAGGCTTTTTAAAATAAGAAACTGAATATTGTCATATTGTTATACCATAATAACAAGTTGTGTATTAGGCTTTCTGAACTCCCAACTCTCATTTAAAAAAATCCATCTCTAGTACCTTTTTGTTGCAGAGATAAGCAGAAAGGCATTATTTCCACAAGAAAAGGGGCGAGACACTTACTTAAAAAAAAAACAAAGTTAGGAACCTGATACGTAGACAGTTACAAAGTTAAAACAATATAATGATATTCTGTTGCCAATTTAAAAACAAATCTAAAAAAGCTCTGTTGGTGCGGGGAAGGGGACAGGATGGCTGCTGCCAGGGACTGGGACAGGTGAAACTGGCCATGTAGAAGCCCCACTGCCACTGGGCTTTATGGAGAACTGCACCAGCAACAGGGAAACCACACAAACCTGTCCCTGTACGGAAATCACCAAAAATGTCATGCTGAATTCAGGAGAAATAAAATCTATCAGATTTAATGCAGATCAAAGCCCAAGCTCAAGGAGAGGAGTGAAATGACTTTACACTTAATAGATTTAAATCCTTTAAAGCAGTTCCAGTAAAGTTGCAAATTTCAAGATTTTTGGCTTTTTCTCATTATACTACTCAATATGTTTCTAACCCCACCTCAAGAGCAAATCAAACAAAAGTAGTAATTTTGATGCATACTTACATTCTTGTTTAAATGTGAAATACTCTGTTAAATGTCTACATTCATGATTCCCACGCAGTAAAAACAGTGTTTTGGGATAAAGAATTTTCAAGGCCCACAAGTACAGCACACACTGCAAAAGAAGAAGAAAAAAGAGAACAAAGTTGATCAAGGATGAACATTCCATTCATCTTTTACAAAGTCACTAAATATGAAATCAATGACTTGCTTTTTCAGAGGCTCACCTAGATTTCCATATTTTTTGTATTTTTTAATACGTGCATGTGTGCACCTGGAAGTCATGGCGACCTCTGGTGACTGACCCCTACTGGGGCCTGGAGGATATTCAAAGAGGTGGCTGAATAAAGCCTGTCTCTGCCCTCCCACCTCTGATATTCCAAGGAGGTTTCTCATCAAAGTACTTGCCAGAGTCAACCCTGCTTAGCTTCCGAGATCTGACGAGATCAGTCTTGCCTGGACTATCCAGGGCCAGGGCTAGATTTCCATATATTTAATGAGACTTGTTTCCTACAATTTGCACAAAACTCAATTCAATTACCCACTGTGATGCTTTAATATATTTATTAATGACTGAAAAGTGAAAGTGACTCCCCCTCCCTTAGTCTACAAACTCTGCAGTACCATATTAAGCCAAAGAATAATATTCCTCTGGATGGAACAGTCCAATCTCATTGGCTTGTAAAGTATCTTATAACATAAACACTTCTCAATAATTTTTAGGAGAGCATTTAATTAGTTTCATCACAATTAACTCCGACATACACTGACAGGAGAGTACTACCATACTGCACAAAAAACAATGGTTCATCTATTAAAAACTGCCTTGTACAGTGGTTCCTCCATAAGCAAGATGGACGTGTCTGGAGAGGCACAAGCAGTTGCTAATGGAAGGCAGGCTAATGGAAGGCAGCTACCCTGAGCCTGCCTCGGCGGGGAGGGCAGGGTATAAATCAAATAAATGTGTATCTTCATTCCATGGCTTAGCAGTGGAGCACAGGCTATGCATGCAGGCTCATCCCTAGACTTCTTAGTTAGAACAGTTCTCTGGCAGAAGGGCTGGATGAGACTTTCTGCACAAGACAGTCAGGGCTTAGATGGAACAGTAATCTGATTCAGCTTGAAGCAGCATGTTAACTGAGCAGAATGCAGGAAGCTACATGACTCTTGTCCTTCATGCTAGTTTTGACTGGTTGCACTTGAGGCCAGTATGGTTGCATTGCATTCTAACTGTTGCTTCTCACCCCACAATCGCCCCAAGACATCTCTGAACTAGATAAATGATCCCACAGTTCTGCCTCCCTATTTGGGCCTAGCATTAGAATCTGCAGTGTTTTGAGAATTACACCTTTTGATTTATCCAAATGTCATTGGTAAGAATCCCTGCCCCTCACGGATCCTTAATGCATGTGTGTGTGTGTGTGGGGGAGAAGTGGGGGATCATATTGTTCACATAAAGCTTGCAAAATTAAACGAAACTTGAAAGAGAGAGAGAGAGAGAGAGAGAGAGAGAGAGAAATGCATTTTCTGAAGTTGCTTCTTTTAGCAGCCCTACAGCTACTCTTCTTGCCAAGTCATCTCTTCTCTAGATACTTAAAAAAATTAGGACAAAAGCTCCCAGAGGCTTTATTTCATACATAAGATGCTTATTAACAAAACCTTGCATATTAACCTACAATAGTACTTCTTGTACTTTGAAAACTCCAAAACAGGGACTAGATATCTACATACGTGATGAAATATCCAGAAATGCCTATCTTACAAATGATTTTAAAAGGACAAAAATGTTATCAATGGAAGAGATAATTTTGTGAAACAACCCCCTAATTATATGTGTGTGTCTGTGTGCAGATGGGAGCTTTATTTCAGACAAGCTTAATGTTGGGCATAATCATGACATCTTTTCCCTTACCAGACATTAATAGTTGCTACAAACAATAGGAAGAGGTAAATAATTGATTAAAGGAGTTTGGTTCTCAAGAAGAGAAGGTCTGCAGCTAACCCAGACTCCATGATTGATTTATATCTCACCCTGAGACTGCCCTTGTGGGGAGGGTGGGATATAAATCTAATAAATAAATAAATAAAAGAGCTACTAGGGAATTCAGAACTACATTGCTTAGAGATGTGAATGCCACGAAAATCTGGGGGAGGGTTGGCCCCTGAACATATTCCTATTTTTCTGATTTTGGATCACAAATGCGTGGTGTGTGTGTGTGGGGGGGAGAATTCCTATGTTTTTTTGAATGAGTGAAATATTTTTTAAGACAAGGTTTTACTCAAAATATGTAACAAATTTTTAATGTACAAAGCTAGATCATTAGTCTACATATATACTATAGATGCATACAACATATTTTCAAGGATTTGCTTATTGTTTAAATGTGTACAACTGTCAGGGCTGCCAAGTCCCCCCGGGGGGCGGATAATCCCCCGCTTTGGAGGCCCGATTTCCACCGCCGCAGAATCGGGCATCGGGGGGAACCCCACCCCGGCGTGCACGTCAGCCGGATGTGACATGATGACGCTGGGCACGCTGGGGGTGGGGCCACAGCCATCTAAGGGGAAAACTCTATGGTCTCTGTATTATATACTGAATCTCCAGGTGGGTGGCATCTTGCCGAGCTGTAGCCCCACCTACTTACAAGTCCATCCCATGAACTACCCTGATAGGTGAATGTAGAAAAGGGCTGGCGTTCTATGGGTTGGGACAATATTTGAAATTCTATACTCTATCTCATGGAACACCATTTGGCCATGTGTTAAGTCTCAGCTTCAGGACATCTCTTTGTTGTGGAGATGACTCTTGGCCTCATCAGGCTGCCAAGGCATTGTAAACAGGAAACTGCAATCAAATGTAGATCCAGTCTGTGTCCTACGTGACAACCAGTCTTTGCAGTAATGGGGGAATTCTTCTCTTGGTCTTTGTCCTCTGCTCACACTAGCCACCATGTGCTTCTTCTTCCCATGATCCTCTCTGAGCTGAATGGGTGCAAGCTACATTAACATAAAACGCAGGCAAGTGTTTCCTATGTGAATTCTGTCTCACTATAGGGAATTCAAACAGCTTTATCTAGGCTCATGGTATACAAGTGTGTGTGCACAGTCCATGTGGTGTGTGTGTGTAGCAGATATAAATCATAAATTAGTCTGTTTCCCAACAGTATACTACATGGTATCAGCAACACTGGTGAGGTATTTTCCGGGGTGGATAATATCAAGAAGATCAAAGGCATCTAAGATTACAGTGAAACAAAAAAGATCCATCCAAGAAACAATACCTCTAATAGCAGGCAAGAGAAGCCAGAATTTAATTTCTAGGATTTACTTCAGCTGTTGAATATTTGGATTTATGTTTGTCTGCTTATTTATTTGGCTTTAATGCCACCCTCCATGCAGAGCGGGCTCAGGGCGGTGTACAGCAGTTTAAAACAAAAGAATATCTTAAAATACAATCTACTAATGCACAGAAATTGTGTAATGTCATAAAACCTATATGGCATCAGAATACATACATTTCTAACCCCTATAAGAAAAGGAGGGAAGAGTGAGAAGGGAAACTAATGACACCGATTGCTGTTAAAACTTGTTGCTGTCCTCAGCCATATGCTTGGCAGAACATCTCTGCCTTGCAGGCCCTGCAGAACTTGAACAAGTCTTGCAGGGGCCTGATGTCATCTGGCAGAGAGTTCCACCAAGACGGAGCCAGGACCGAAAAAGCCCTGGCTCTGGTTAAGGACAGCCAGATGCTCTGTGGGCCAGTATGATAGGCCTCTCAAGATGACAGCTGGATGAACCAAATGGTCCTGTTCCTGATTTTGGATACATGCTTCTGCAGTTCATCTGCATTTGGGATACTGACAGTATCCTTTAGTAAAAAGCCCAGTAGTACCTTTAAGACTAACAAACTTTATTGTAGCATAAATTGATTGTAGCATATGCTACAATAAAGTTTGTTAGTCTTAAAGGTGCTACTAGGCTTTTTACTATTTTGCAGCAACAGACTAACATGGCTAACTCCTCTAGATCTAGTATCATTTAGGATACTCTCCTATTTTACTGAATGTGATCATAAGTTTGTGGTGTAGGGAGGGGGAATAGGGGGGAAATCCCATTTCACAACTCCAATGGTAAAACACCTCAGTAATAACTTATGTGTATTTCACAAAATAGGCAACCATAACTTTTCCCTCCAACCATGTGCAGGAAAACTGTCTTGCAAGCAACCATTTCTGCCCAGGTGGGAGTGAATAAGTTCTTTGACCTACCAAGCTCTCCAGCCCCTCTCCACCCATTGTGTCCTCCTCTCTCTCTATTTCTCAGCCTATGGACTTGCCTGCAGGTTTCCTCTGCTCAGCAGTCACGTTTTCTGGACTTCAGGATCTATTGCCATGGGAACCAACAAGCCTGATTGAACATTCCAATGGAATGGCCGTCTGCTGTCCCCTCCCCTCTCTACTCTTTTTGGTGCACACGGATAACAAGGACCAGCCTAACTGCACTTCAAACAAAAGCAAATTTATTAATAAAAATCACACACATCTTGCGCAAACAGAATGAGCAAGGATAAAAAAGTGGTAACTTCAGTCCTTTGCCCATGAATCTTTCATATTCCTAAGACTGGTAAATACAGATAAGCTTTTAAATTCCACAAATTGCAAGCATTTAGAAATCATCTATTACCTCTTCAAGCATTAGGAGTTTCCTCCTTTCTGATTTCAGCACCATGTGGTCATGGCTGCCTCTTAGAGACAAGATGGATTCCCTCCTCCTAGTTATGCTCAAGGGGTTTTATAACCTCTCTTCCTAACCACCTTACAGACTCCTTCTTTTCCTGCCCCCAAAGGAAAAACTGCTCATGCCTTGTCTTTCTGAGCTTTGTAGCTTTAGGTATCACTATGGGTGAGAAGTGATGTTGCCTTTTGTTCTCCTCTGGCTAAGACCATCTACATTTCTATAGCACTGGATGGCTCTGTACTTGGGAGGTGAGTCAGTCCCATTCTTCCTTCGCTTTCCCTCTTGCAACCAGGAAAAAAGTACTCTACAACCCTGAGCCAAGACCCTCTTATTATCCTGTTGGGCCGTGAACTTTGGGATAACTTCTGGGGTGTCATG